TGCCTCCTCCTGGAGGCCCATGTCGCGGAAATAATTTCTGAACATGAGAAGTATGTACAATAACTTAATCTGTTGAACCTTTTAGTTATTCTTTTCTGGATGAATCTGAGCAGATCATCCTGTGGTTCAATAAGCTTCTTCCATCTCCCTTTGAGAAGTGGCACATTCAGTGTCCATTTCTCAAGTGACATATCCAAAGCCGTAGAATTTGTGATCAGATCATCAAATCGATGTTTTACTGCGAAAAATTCGGCCATATTCTCCTGAACACGTGATTTCGTATTGATGCTAATGAAATTATCGCAACAAACTGACCTCTGTAAAACTCTCCGAAAATATGATCCGATTGATTACACTGCCAACGATGACATCAAAGAATTCATTAGCTTTTATTGTCGCTTGTCCATTTACCAGCACATTTTCTAATTTGCAAAGGCTGAAATAAGAAGCGATGAGGACAAAATTCAGGAGGAAAGGCCATTGCTGGAAGCATGAGCTAATGTCGAGAATCTCTTGACACGTAAGAGTTTACTCGAATTTCTCGAATTCTCGAAAAATTTCTCGAAAAATTTTAATCTCGAATTTACTTCGTTCGATCCTGATTAAAGAGGTCATGTCCGAGACTAGTAAACATTATCCTGGAAGAGGTGGAGTAATCAGTATCCATAGTCAGGCGGTACGACAAATCGCTCTACCGCTAGGAGTGAAAGAAACCAGCTAGCAGATACAGGAGACAGAAAAAGCTCGAGATACGGCCCAGGAGCCGCAAAAGGGAACTCTTGGTTTCCCGGCTTATACAGCGATCAATGGGTACCCCCCAGGAGGCCCGTCGCGCGGCAAGAAGGCAAAGTCAGCGGACGAGTCGCGCGCGTACTGTAGGGATTTCGCGTCAAGTTAAATAGTGTCCCATTGCACGTCCTACATCGCACATCACGCGCTGCAACTCGTCCGCCGACTCTGCCTTCTTGCCGCGCGACGGGCCTCCTGGGGGGTACCCGGGATCAATACCTTTTGTGGTTAATAGATAGATAGAGCTGCCCACGAACGCCACAGGTGTGCTACTTTAATTTCGGGTTCGAAAACAGGGTCAACCGTCCGTTGGACAAAGTCCAACGAGGGGGTCGTATTCGGCCGACGAAAAGGGGGGGGGGTCGTATTCGCAAGGTCGGAGGCAGCGTCAATCCTACACCAACGGGGGTCGTAGTGTGACGCTTTGCACCCATCGGCTTGTCGACAGCAGTGTTGGCGCCACCTAAAAAAGCGCGGTCGCATTTCTGGCAGCGTTAGCCTTGCGGCCAAGTGCCGCACATTTCTATTTCTTCCATGAGGGGCCGTTCCTTATTTGGAATAGGTGGTTGTAGTGATTAACTCCAAAATGGGCGGTATTTACTCACAGTGAGTTCAAGAAGAAGAGATCGAAATGAAAGAAAGAACTGAGGAAAAACAGGAAAAGAAAAAATGCATGACAACCATCTGCGCCGATCTTCTACAACCACATCGATTACTTGCACAAAGCCAACAGCTGTTATACTTCGGGAAACTCGTCCAAACGCGCACACTACACTAATTCCGTCCGCGGATAGTGGAGCGGGGGTTCTCACTCATGACCTCCTCGAGAGTTTCTTTATTATTCTTTCGCGAGTACTCAGCACCCAATACTCATGTCAAAATTGGCTGACTCCACGGTCCTTCTTGAACGACAAGTTTTGCTATAATACTCTAGCTCATTTCCGATTCCATCCTTCTCTGTTTCTCTCTGTACTCCGGTGTCAACACTCGCCTTCGAAAAGAGGAAATCCTCTCAGTGTTCACGGGGTTCTTCCTATTCTCTCACTAGCAGTGCACTACGTAATTCTAGATTCGTATTCTAGTCTAGTTAATGTAAAAATGAGATAGTGAAATGTGCCTTCAAAAAAATAGTACAAAACTGCAGTAAACAGTAGAAACTCTCACTTTGACTGAACTTCACTCATGATTCTCTCCTCCATTATGCTATTCTTGAGAGCAAAATCACGTAATGTCCGTAAAGTGAATCGTCGATGATCAGCCCAGAATTCTCCGCTTGAAAACACTGTACCTCTTCCCTCTAAAAAAATTACCTAAACAGTGAGCCAGCCATCGATATTCCAACATATGACTGTACCTCGCCTCACGTCAATCATATACGGCGCATAACGATCGACGTAAGCAGCACCATTAGTGAGCATTTCTTCCTTCGCTGTTTCAAAGTCCAATATATGAACAGTTGGTAATGGTCCCAACCAGATCGTGATGACATTACCGTATTCCTTAAATGGGCTTGATAGAGTGGTAATTAAAGTTTTTATGGTGCATGTTACCACATGCTATATGAAATCTTTGAGAAACAAAGAAATAAGAGGAAAAAGTTACACGACATGATAATGAGTGATACAGCAGATGATAATTAACGAACCTTCTGCCAAATTTTCATAAGGTCAATGATTCCTTGATGATTCATCTTTCCTAACATGAGCTGATGAAGATTGCCAACCAGAGGCAATGGAAATGGACCTTTAATTGAAGAAAATTCTCGAAGAGCTGTTACGATTACGGAAAATCAGGTTGGTTATGAGGTAGCAGCTCTATGCGTGTACATTTGATATTATAATATGCATGTTGATAGAGAAACTGCTAGCTATTGGGGAATGTCTTCGAATAATTCGAAAGAGAAATGGTCGGCGAGATTTTCAGAGCTTTTCAATTCGAATAACTTCGTATAGCATACATTATACGAAGTTATTCTGGACATGGTGGAAAAAATCTCTCAATGGGACCTAATAGTTAACAAATGGATGACACGTATCGATTGGAGTTTAAAGGCAAGATTCAGGCTCAAATGGGTGAAGTAATTCTACTCAAATGTGACGTAGGGGTAGGAGGTGGGCCGCCTTTGGAGAAAAAAGGATAAAAAAAACATGAAATACACAGGAAATACGAGCCTTTTGCTCTACGTTGCGGAGAAGTTCAAAAGGCCGGCAGGGAGATGAGAGATAATGTGAGCGCGGAGAGCGGTAGAGAAATCCGAGAAGAGAGAGCATAGCAGATCAATATTGCGACGCAGACAAGATATCGAGCGGTGGGCGGAGCGTGTCGCAACAGGTGGAGCGTGTCAAAGTCCTTGGCCCCTAGCGCCTTAGTGACGCATTTCGATGCGGGATTTTGGCGAGTAGCCTGCAGTTGCGTCCCATCCACTTCTAGCCACTTTAAGGGCTTATTAGGTGGGTCTGAACCCGAACCTTGCCTTATAATGACGGTTGTGGCGACTCAACCATTGCGTCTCAATTTTAACATGTTCTTGGCTTAATTTAAGACCGATATACAATTGTCATAAGTATTACCTGGTGGATATCGACGAACTTTCCTTATCCATTCATATGCAAGGACGACAATTAGGACGGCTACAACAGCAAGCACCCACATCGTTGCTCTGAAAACTTTGATGAAAATGACAGGAATCGTGAAAAAAAATTCTGTACTATGCAAAGTCTTAACTATACATGAATATGATAGGGAAATTCCTGGCTTTTGCGGTAAACCGACCACATACAATACTTTTTCTTCCGAAGGGATTAAAAACTGTCGCGAGAGATTTCGTGTAAGATCGTCGGATATTAGCACACAAGTACGAAAGGGACGTTGATTCGTGAAGAAACCGCAAAGACCAACAATAAAACCACGACCCACTGAAATTTTTCATCATAGTACCCCAGCGCCTGACAGGAGAGAAAATGCGAGAGAGCACGTTGCACACGAGAGGGCGCAGACTAACGTATGCTGCCATTGACAGGATTGGCAGCGGTCGCAGCGGTTTAGCTAAGTCATTACTTCCGCTGTCGGCATACTTGGAGTCGTGACATACAGCTCTCCTGTTATTAGATGTCCCGCTACCTCATCCAAACAAGAGAAATTCGAAAATTTAATCGCGACCCGTGCCTTTGCCTTCAAGATCCGAGAAAAGGGATGAATAGAGCATTCACACACGATTCCATGCCAAAACCTACTCCTTTGCGTCAACAAAGGCGATACACACGTGTCCATCCAGCATCTTTTTTCTCCAGAAGCAAAACGTTAGGATAAAAAACACCTGAGCAGAGCGATAAACCACGAATAGACAACATGGCTAGAAATGCCGCACTATACTGCGCCACGGTAGACTCGCTTGCCAACCGAACCATCTTTAACCGGCAACTTGACGGTGAGTTTAACCCATTCGCGACCGCGCAGGATTGCGCAATAGCAGCAGCGTCAGGAGATTTTTCTTCAATAAAATCCGAGTGAAGGGAGATTTCCTCTGCCCAGGGCTGGCGTAGATGAGCGAGGGTATGAAGATTCTTTCCATGGAAGAAAACTTTCCAAATTCCATTTCAAGCCCTGCAGCCACAGTAATACCATTGTCCCGATGAAGCTTTGCAGACCGGTGCGGACAATTGTCACTGATGGTTAAGATTTCTCACATGAGGCTAGACTTAAGCAAGAATTTCGGAGTATTTGCGAACATACGAAAATAATTAAATCGTTCCACTTAACTGGCTCTTCATAAAGCCATTACAAACTATACAAACAGACTTTATACGCACAAAAGGATGCGTTGTGATTGTTTTCAATCGACCGTGGAAATTGTCAGTACGTCACTGTTTGTCAGGTTATCAGTTGTTGTCGACATTCTTACAGTCTTTTCAGACCGGATTTTTTTTCAAAACCGATCATCGTTCTCAACTACCCACCAAAGTTATCAAAACTCTAACGAGTAATTATTCGATTGATTTTAGAAACAATTCTCCCATCATACAGTTCGAAATTGCGGCAAATGAAGCATGACTGACCTTTTCAAGTATCAGGCCATAGGACGAAAAAGGCTGCACATGAACACCTTACAGCACTGGTGGAGACAAATGGCCCATTACCGCTCCTAACGCACACATGCCTCGAACTGTGAAAGCTGACGGCCCAAACACTTACATGCTGGTCATGCCAGCCGTGCAACAGATGAAAATAACACGCACAGAACAAGGCACCTTAAAATGTAATAAACAACGAAGCCGCTGAAAAATGGGTAACCTAATTGTAATACGATATTTTCAGATCTGCGACCAATTTGATAGTCTTCGAAGGCTCTCACAAGATAAACTACCGCTTTACTTTTCAAATTTTCCAAACCCCCTCCTCCCTTTCCACACGTTCCACGAAGACCACTGCCACCAGCCCGACCCGCACTACGAGTTCACCCCACAAATACCATCAGATCCCTAAATACGAACCAGGCTAACCTCACGTATGGACAAATTCAAAAATTTTTCCGCCCCCTCTCCCCTTCTGTAGTTCCTCAATACGACTCCCCGCCCCAGGGTCTACCTTACCGTTGGTGCTATTTTGGAAATTTTTTACCACACCCTCCACCACCATGAGACTCAGGAGGCTCACCAATAACGACCACCACCCTCACCATCATAGCTGTTACTATAGTAGTATTGCTTCTGAGACCAGTTGACACAGCCCAACTCCACCCACATTTCCTCCAAAATAGCCGTCGAGCGGGAGGGAAGCGTCACACTACGACCCCCGTGTAGGATTGACTTGCTTACGACCTTGCGAATACGACCCCCTTTTCATCGGCCGAAATACGATCCCCCTCGTTGCTTTGTCCAACGACGGTTCACCCTGGTACAAACACTTCTCCCCCTCCGAATAGTTTTAACGCAATCGTCGCCTCAAGGTCATGGCAAGAATCTGGTCGCAGGGCTGCTATCGCTAAGCACACTGACGGGGGCGGCGAGGTTACTGAAACTTTGATGAAAGCTAACAACACAAAATCCTTGACGCTAACAGAAACAGACCCCAGCCAAAACCTGCGAAATGGTTCAGCAGTACCGGAACAGTATGGAAGAATAGAAACAATAACCGATTCGGACTTTGAGGCACCCACGGCCATGGACCAAAACTTTCTTAGCACTCCACGACTTCCTGAAGGGTAACAAATAGTGCGCATCCCTAACAAAGTGCGAGTACTGCTCATTTGAATACGATGTGGTACATGCCGTGTTCCAAAACCAACTGACCATGGCAAGTAATCTTGCCCTTGAAAATCAAGTCTTCATGACTCCGCTCATCTCTCGGGTGACCTTGAATAAATCAAAGTTGTATTCGGTATAGCATAGAAACAACAAGTGGCCGAAAAAAGATAAAAATCAATTTCACCGCATTTGCAATGCGAGCACCGTTTTGCCCGCACACTTAGGCATACAACGCAATTTCCTTAGGAACATCAACAAGCCCTTCCGGAAACAAGTATCAGGACTTCCTCTGTTCGATTGATGTACGACCTGATGTTCAACCACGTGTTCCAATACTGCGTGCTACTTTGAGGATCTCCGAGGTCAAGGCTGCGCCATCGATCATAGCGCCCAGAAAATCTGTGTCGGTCTTGTTCGGCGTCTCAATCGACCGCAATTTCACGTCGTAGTTCCTTTCTCGTCTAATTCTAATTGTAAAAATCTCACTTCTCTGTCAATTACCTTTGAAACGTCACGAATATTGTACTTCCACAAATATACTCATTCACTGAACACCATTCAACAGACACTTTCTGAGGAATTTTTGCCTTCGAACACACCTACAAGGCTTTTCGATGAACAAATCACGAACACCATTTCGGATTTCTTTCCATCGCACCATCTCTGGAGAGAGGCCCATTCCGCGATTACATAAGTGTGGTTATTAGGCTCGAAGACAAAAGTTAGGTTGCACAATATTTCAGACCACTTCTTAGAAGAATAAAAAAGAAAACATTGAAAAGTGAGGCTTCCCCTTTTAGGTAGTGGGCGAGTTCATGAGACAAACAGAGGCAGGCAGCCTGTGGCCGATGCCAGACTTTGCGAATCCAGTGACTCAGCAACAGTTCAAAGAAATTCCCGCCACATTCAAATAGTGTCTGGTACATCGCTCGATCCGCTGGCACATCGCTCGACCGCTGGATTCGCAAAGTTTGATGCCTATGAGACGCAATGTGAGCCAGAAGCTGAAGAACATCGCGGGCACGATAGAGTGTACGGGACGCGAGAGACGCATACACCGACGCATTTCCTACGTTTTACATGCCCAAATGAGAAAATAACTTCATTTCTTTTCGCTTTTTTCACGATCACACCTTCTCAGAACATTCTATCCGATATGCTGTTGAAGCATAAACAGTAGCTTTTCATAGATCATTTCGGAAAATCTCTCATAAAGGATAAAAGGATAAAGCATTTGCCGTTGATCAATCCCTTTTTGGGATGCGGCACGCATTCTACTTCCATTTGTACATTCGTAGTGGCGTTTGAATGCGATGTGGCCTATACAATGACTTGCGGGGGCCAGCCGACAAGTCTGGTACCAATTAACCGACCCCGGAGGGATGGAAGGCTTGGTTGGCCCGGGCGACTCACGACCCAGGATTTGATCCCCGGACCGCTCGCGTGGTAAGCGTGCCACTTGCCACTACACCACTTCCGCCCTCTCAGAATAAATCCTTGATAAATTGATCGTCACTCGCCACTATACGAATAACTTTTTACATTTATTTATGCTCATTTCCGATTTGCAATGACGAAAGCAGCATGAGTTCGATGATGGAGAAGCTGAGACGCCTTCGACAGTCCGTGTCTACGATTCAGCCAAGAGTATTCGTCGAAACGACTGTACGACTTGCCTTGGCTAGCATCGTTAATTTCTATCTATCGAGATTTATTTTCAGCTATAAACTCATACCGACTTTGGAAAATGTGAGTGACTATACGTATCTTATCTATAGCTAGTACGCTACCAGTACGCTACCTAAGTACGCTACTCTAGGATCGCTTGCTCAAGGCAGAGTTCATAGTTTGCGATCGTATGCGCGATTAGGCGGGGACACAAAAAGAAAAGTATTTGTATCGACCAGGCGATTAGGCAAGTAGGCGACCGTCAACGGACGTAGCATGCTAATCGCTAAGTATGCAGTCTATCGCCTAAGCGCTTAATCGGGAACTATGGACACCGACTGACTCTTGTATAGTCCAGTAGTCGGTGGTAGGCATTCATTTCATGGTGAATTGATGCTCGATTTTACCCCTATGCCATTCCATCTCTTTCCATGCAAACAGGTCCAATCACTCTTTGGTACCCAACGTTCTTTCTTTCTCTTTGCTTTGTTCAGGCTTTACTCATCTATCGATAGACTGGCATTTGGAGGAGATACCTCCCTACCGAATTTTCTTACATCAAATTGCGACCAGGGTCAAACATCACGTTCGAACATTTT